AATTTTGGCAGTTATATTTGTCATGATTAAGCAGTTTTGTTCCATAAAATTTCTAGCATAAGTGTAATTCGGCTAGTAGATTGTTGGAAAAAGTGTTGAGTAAATAAAAAGAAAAGAAACATGTATTTACTTCGTGAAGACAAAATGGCGGTGAAAAAAAAAACAGAGGGTTACTGTAGCAGAGCTGGTCGCCAAATTTTCGCCAAGTTACCATAATCCAAAGATAAACCCAAAAATGAATATCTGCTCGTATATCAACGCAAGTACAAAATTCTGGACTGGATTGCAGCTTGCTATGAAAAGTGGATTTACTTCAACAACACAGGCCGAAAAGAGGGTTGCTTTGTGCCTAGTGAGCCCATCAGCAGCAACTCAAAGTGCAATTTGACTAAAAAAAAACCTCGACATTAAAATGTACAGCGAGATACTAGTCTGTGTTGACACTATCAAAGAAAAACTTCGAACTGAGTTCTGGCACAAAAAGATAATGTTTCATCAAGATAATACAAGACCACAAGTCTCCACATTCACTGGCTGGACTCTGTATGAACTTGAATACATGTATGCATATGCAAACACTCATATACAGGGTGTTTCAAAACTTATTATTTAAACATCGTGGGTAGGTAGGAAAGACATTAGGGAACTGATTTCACATAGGAATTCGGTCCACAAATGTACACTGTGTGTACCCAAACAGTATACAGCTCACCTGACCACTTCCGCTGTCATTAGTGGTCAAGCTGACTTACTAGTGATAAGATGAACCGTTTTACGCATCAAGAACTAGCAGATATGCATCTTGCATATGGGGCAGCTGGCGAAAGCGGCCACCGAGCTAGACAAGATTACGAAGACCTACACCCCAACAGAAGAATACGGCAGTATCAAATGTTTGCGTGTGTGCCTCGCAATGCAAACATGGGTTCACTGCACAGCAACACGCAGGGTACAGGAAGAAGACGACTGAAGCGGACTGTCTACATCGCAAAACAAGTCCTACAGTCCATCGAAGACAATCAAAATACCAGCACACGAGTTTTGCTCAGCAGCTGGGGGCCTCTCACTCAGCAGTGTGGTGAATACTGCATGAGGAACATGTGCATCCTAACCATCTACAAAGGGTGCAGTTACTGCACAGCATCCTAATAATTATCCGAAGCATGCGAAATTTGCACAATGGTTCATGCAGAAAGGTGCCACGAACCCCAGTTTTCCAGCTTCTGTCCTTTTTACAAATGAAGCTTCATTCACTCATGAAGGTGTGTTCAATACACACAGTTCACATGTGTGGACTTACAACAACCCACATGGTATGAGAATGTGCAACATCATTTTGCCATAAAGGTGTTGGCTGGAATCATTGGTGACCTTACTTGCTATTGTTTGTTAGGACCTTACTTGCTACTCCCCGATTTGAATGGCAGGAAATACCCAGTCTCTCTTGCGATAGTGTAACCGACAATTTAGGGCGCATATCTGCCGAGATATGTGGTATCAACATGACAGGGCTTCAGCCCATAGCATAACTGATGTGCATGAATACCTGAACCGAACATTTGAAGCTTAATGGATAGGTAGAGGTGGACTGAATACTTGGCACCCAGGTCACTTGATTTATCGCCCATGGATTTCTTTTCATGGGGGGGGGACATGAAAGAACATGTGTACGAGACTCCCATCGGTAGTGAAATGGACCTTGTTCCACGAACAGTGTCCACCACAGAAACTGTCCGTGATATGCCAGGTGTTTTTGAAAATGTTCAGAGGTCAATGCAACGGCACTGTGAATCCAGTGTTTGTGTAAATGGTCACAATTTTGAGCACCTACCTGTGAACCTTTACTTTACCTTATTGGAATAAAGGTCACACTGTTACCACTCAACTGTAGTGTTTCCTTGTGTTAACATTACTTGTCCATTTTGTTCATGTAGATGGCATTTGCAGACAAACATTCCTTTGTGAAATCGATTTCCTGATGTCTTACTTACCTCCTCACAACATTTGAAGGACAAGTTTTGAAACATCCGGTATGCATACACATATATAAATGCACACATGAATTTCTGAAGAACAGAAACTGAAAAATACCAAAACAGAGCAGTACTTGACAGAAACAGTAAACAGAAATAACTACAAAATTTGATAATAGAAAAGAACCAAAAAATGTTCCTTCTTGTTTTAGTATATAACTAGAACAAAAAGGAACATTTTTGGAAGAAAAAGCTGAAACACATGTTGAAATTTACTATAAATGAAGAATAGAAACTTGATTTAAAAAATAAAACCCTTGATGAAAAAAATTTTCGGTACTTTTCCGTTTCGCCGACGCAAATCTCGCCAAGCAGACTTTATTGGCGACAACATACATTATACACACAAAAAATATTAAAAAAATGTTAGTCCTAAGAATTCTTTTTTTGAAGGCATAAACATTTTAATATCGCTTAAAATTTTATAAAAAGTCAATGAATAAAGACAATAAATTTGTAAAAAGACATTAATTTAAGAATTTATTATGCTTTCATGGTTCAACATCCTGTTTCGCCGGTTCATATCACGTGACCCCAAGCGATCTCATCTCACGTATACTACTCTACAAAAATATAATGCTCTCAGTAATTATCTACATTAATTTCAAGTTAAATCTTAATTTGGAACACAAGTTTAAATGCAAGAAATACTTCAATTCGTAACTACGAATAGCTACTCAGAAATTATATAAAACTGTAGTGCTTTACTTCGCTAATGCATTCTCATTAGAATTGATGAATTTAACCCTTGACTTTACCTTTTCTATATTTTCGGCTTCGGGTAAGCGCTGTGATTGCATCCTAATTGATTTAATTGCCGAAAATGGCCTTAGACATAAAACTGAACTATCTGAATGAGGCGTAAAAGGTTACCAGCGAGAATATTCCATTTGGCATCGGTTGTACCATTATTGGCGACTTTATCGCTTGCGCCGGCAAAACGGAAAAGTACCAAATTTTCTACTGATTAGGAGAGGAAATTAAATATTTTCCTACGGATATTGACTGCAAGCATTAGATGTATTGCATTAGTTCAGGAGTAGCTATAAACATTAGAGAAGTAAATAAAACAGTTTTCACATGGCCATTTCAAATTATTTCCTTGGACCTACAGATAAATTAATTATTTCTATGAATAAATGAAAAAGAAACCTAAGCATATCATCTTGAAAAAGATACTCATAAATAAAAGTTAAATGGAAATCTTTACCAGTACTATGAAAGAAATGAAAATTTAATATGCAAGTGCCAAAAACATTATCCATAATTATGCCTATATGGTCAAAATTGCACACAGGATACTAATGAGCAAGATTTCATTTCACGTATATCAATATTGTTACTCATTTTACACAAAAGAGTATCAGGGTAACAGGAAAATTTAACACATTTGATTGGATAATGCGAATCAAATGTGAAATTATTCCCTAATTTCCATTATTTGTGAAAAAATAATGTGCTTGATAAGCTTAATAAATAAGTGAGAGGAAATATGCAAAATAAACAAAAAATAAACTTTAATTTTAAAAACTGCAGTCAAACATTTCTGAAGAAAATAAAGGGCATATTTCTTTAATAATCTGCAATTTCTTTAGGCACTGATTGAAGATGTATAAAATAGTAACAACAATTAAGCTATTAAAATTTTTACCAATAGTACCACTGTAATAATATATTATGCAAAATATAAATAAATAATACAAAATCAAAAGATTTTGATGTAATTGCATGTCTGTTTATTTTAGCATAAACAAAACAAAATGAATAGTTGCAACATGCCTACAAAAAGGTTCATAGCAATGACATTTACGAGTAATTATAGCATTTTAGGCATTGTTTACACTTACTGACTTCTTCACCAGCTATGGGTTTACTAGATTACGACAAAGCATTTTAGCGCTCTGGCGTCCGTAGAGGAATGCTTATAATGAAGACTTTCTAAAGGGAAATGGTTTGTACTGACATTACACTTGGGATTAATCATGAAAACTGCTATGTTGCCAGTGGGACTTGGTCTAATTTACACCACACATGAGAAAAATTCTGAAAATACTCATGTACCCAAAAAATTAAAAATTAAAATTGCTATCCAAATCACAAGCAAACATGCAAAACAGGAGTCAGACATATCAGCCACTTGTATTGCAAAGTAAACATCTATATTTTGCCAACAATATTCTAAAATCAATAAAATAGCATTGCTAAAAGTTTACAATTGGGTGCCCCTTGTTTTTTGGCGCCAGAATGGCGTAATTTCAAGATGGCCGCTACACAAAACCACACAAACTCTGTGTCCATGTACACATCGATCTGTTTTTCACTTAAAAAAAAATCGCAGAATTACACAACTTAAGCATTGGGTTTATTCCTAGTATCCGGTGCACACGGGATTTGGCTACTTTTGGCGACTTTATGATGAGCAGTAAAAACGGGACATGTACGATGAGTAATAAACAGGTCATTCAAAGAATATATATAGTTATATATAGTATATATTATGTATGTACACACATAGTATATAGTGTATAGTATATAGACGTTCTTTGCATCATTTTTGGTGTTGGCGATAATTTTCAAAATCGCGACGTTCTTTGAATCATTTTTGGTGTTGGCAATAATTTCAAAATCACGCCAAGGCTGCACCGTATACTAGGATTTTACCAAGCATTGCACACTGCCTTAAATTTGTCCATGTACACATCAATCTATTTCCATTTAAAAAAAAAAATCAGGAAGCTAAAACAAAGTTAAAACTATTATGGTAACCAGAAATGAAGTTTATTTAAAAAAAAATGTCGCTAATCGAAGGCGAACCCAATTCTACACTACAGCTATAACATTTTTTACTATAATATAAATAATATTTAGAATATAGATAACAATAAAATGCAAAATATAATTAACATATAGGTGAATAGTTTACATTTAAACTTCAGTCTCTAAGACAAGAAACATAAGAAATCCTACCGTTTTCAACATGCATAGAGGTTTTTTCCAAAAAATACGCGTATATTTTATAGGAAGTCTGAGACTTTGTTAATGTTGTAAACAGAGAAATTTATCAACACACGTTCTAACACATAAAAAATAATAATATCAAAATTCGCACGACTACGACATCCCAATTCAAGGAATTCGTTGTTGACAGGTTATCTTCACGAGAAAAAAGGGGAGGAAAATGGGAGGAGTTACGAGATTCTCTGGGTTGCATGAAGATCTACTAATAACTTTCTCGCCAAGTAATTTGGCGTCATCGGCTCATTCTCATTTCTGGAACTGTGGGTGAAGAGTGGTCTGTTTTTGATCCGTAAGTATGCTAAAATTCTACTATAAATTTTTAATACCTTGTTTTCCAAATTTACACATTTTGCTTGATTAATTTGAAGTTGTTTTGTTTTAGATGTGCGCAATAGCAATGGCAAATTTCAGGTTATTCGTCAAATAACCAAAGTTTTTCTATTTCTCTGGTAAGTGTTTGCTTTATATCTTATATTTATTATTAAATATTAAAAGTAATTTTTGCATGCGTATATTTTTTCATGCTCATTTTCTGTTTTATGTGCTGGTAGATTTCTGGCCGATTACCGTGTTTTTAGATAAATGCGCCATTTTCATTTAGGTCGTGTAGAGATTACTGTTTCCATTTTTTTTAAGTAACCACGAAAATTCTAACACATGTAAAAGCTTTACTAGTAAACTTTTGATTGAGGATATTTCAAGTAAATGTGCCATTTTTACTGAATTTGTGTAGAAGTTGCTCTTCGTTATGCCTTTTTGAGCCAATATGTTAATTAGTTGTATTCTTTTAATGTGTTTGTTTTGCAGATTAATGCAGTTTATTTGACAGATGTGTAATGCTGTTTGTTGAAAAATGCATTAGAACCAATGATGGTAAGATCTTGGCCTAGGAAATTGGTAAAATATTACCTGCTCTTAATTACTGAATCATATTGTAGGATAAAATCTGCTGTTTATGTATGAAAAATTTGTACTTTATCTCTGATTATGTGGTATATGCCCAGAATTTCATTATTAATGATCGATTCATTAAAAATTACTATTTTTAATTGTCTACTTGTTTTGTGTTGCTGCTGCTCATTCTGCATTTTTTTTTTGAGTAGATATAAAAATTAATTCTTGTTTTTTATTTTTTTCCCCTCCAATGTCTCTTTTTATTGTGCTGGTAAATTTTTGAGAAAGTTTTTAGTAAATGCACCGTTTTTACTTAGTTTGCGTAAAAATTGTTCTTCTTTATGCCTCTTTTGAATAAATATGTCAATTCTTGTTTGTATTATTTAATATCTTGTTTTGCATATTAACACAGTTTATTTGACAGATTGAGATGCGATTTGTTGAGAATATTCATTAAAACTAATGCGGGTAAGATCTTGGCCTAACAGATTGGTAAAAGATTTTCTGATTACTGAATTTTTTATTATATTCTAGGTTAAAATTCTGCCTTTTACGTGTAAAAATTTTTATTTTATCTGATTATGTGCCAAATTTAATGATCCAAGAAAAATGCCATTTCTGTGTGTAGCTGGTTCGTTGTTGCTGTTCGTCATGCAGTTCTGTATAGGTTTGAAAATTTATTCTTACATGTGTATTTTTCTCATCCATTTTTGCTGGGCTCTTTTCCTGTGAATATTATTTTTATTTAGTCTATATAGAATTTGCTCTTTCTACCTTTTTTGAATAAGTATGATAATTAGTTCTTGTTTGTGTTATTTTAATGCCCAACAATTCACTTTCGAATGTTTGTTAATTATAGAAGCTAATTTTACTTTTTGCTTGCAGTTTTAACTCTGTACCTTTTATCCAGACATAAGTAACATCTGCCTTTTCATTTCTAAACTTAAAATATCGCAGTCGGGAAAAGGTTTCAATTCAAAAGGTAGTGGCTTTTCTAATTGCAAGAATTTCTCTTCAGAATTATAATTAACATAGGCTGTGCATTCTCTGCTAAGTATTTCATTTCTCGAAAAGTCTGGTAGACCTTTTAAATCTCAATTTTAATCTTTAATTTTTTGGATATAATTAAGAACGAATTCATTTGGAAGAAATTTAAAAAATAAAGCCCATTAAAATATTTCTGTATAAATCAGTATGGTACTTTTCTGTTTCGCCAGCGCAAATCTCGCCAAGCGCACTTTATTGGCGACAACACATAATACACAAAAATTGTCAAAAAATGTTGGTTCTAAGATTTTTTTTATTTTAAAGGCATAAACATTTTAATATTGTTTAAAGTTTTGTAAAAAGACAATAAATTTTTTAAAAAACATTAAGAATTTACTATGCTTTCATGGTACAACATCCTGATTCGCAGGTTCGTATCACGTGAACCCAAGTGATCTCATTTCACGTAATTCTTTGCTCAAACTACGCTACAAAAATCTAATTCTCTCAATGATTCAGTAATTATCTACAATAATTTCAAGTTACATTTTAATATGGAATACAAGTTTAAATGCAAGTATTATTTCAGTTCGTACGAAGCTTACTTAAGAATTATGTAAAACCCAGTACTTTACTTCGCTAGTGCATTCTCATTAGAATTGATGAATTTAACTTTTCTATATTTTCGCCTTTGCTGAGCTGTGTGATTGCATCCTAATTGACTTAAATACCGAGAATGGCATTAGGGCATAAAATTGAACTTTCTGGTAAAAATTCTATGTAATTGTATGCCAGTATTGAAAGAAACAGTGGCGTAGCTAGGGTGGGGCAAGAAGGGACATCTGTCCCCGGGCGCAGCATCCAGGGGGCACCAAATTAATGCTACGAAATTTTTTAATGAATGTTTTGCATTCTTGACACATAGAAAAGGGCGTAAATTCTTCAGTTGTCCCCGGGCGCTGGAATCCTAGCTACGCCACTGGAAAGAAACAATCAATCTGATAAAAAAAATGGCTGCAATGTGTTTTGAAGATGAGCGTAAAAAGTTACCAGCGGAGATATTCCGTTTGGCATCTGTTGTACCATTTTTGGCGAAGCATCTTTACTTTCTCCCAAAAGTCTTGCTATTTTTCAGATTTCAAATTTGACTTCTGTTTCTTATTTTGCAGGTTAACATGCTTTATTTGATTGCATAGAAGTTAACTTTTCGTAAAAAGGCCTTAATTATAGTATCATTATTGGTAAATTCAAGGCTTAAACAGATTGGTGAAATGTTTGACCTTAACTACTGAATTCTGCTAATTATATGGGATATGTCCATAATTTAAATTTTTTCGTAGTAAATCGATCAATTGGAACAAAATGTGAAATGAATTTATTAAAGAATATGTCACTTGCTGTATTCATAAATTTCCAGCCATGTGTATCATTTAATAATTATTTGTTTTTAGATTAAAAAAAGTAGTAGCAGATGGTCCTACCAATTTGAATAAATATGGAATTTAGTTTTTAATAGTTTTATTTATTTCATGTAATTTATGATATTAAAGTATAAAGGCTATGCTCGTAGATTTTCTAGTAAAGGCAAGTTTCCAATAAATAGCAGTTTTTTATTTGAGTATGGTGGTTGAGCTATTTATCCAGCATTTTTTTAGTATGAAGACTAATCATACTAAAAAATTTGAGCATTTCTTTCAAGTAAAAATCAGTGTGTTGTAGCTGTGCCAGTATCATTCTGCATAATGACGAAAGTTCATTAAATATGTTAGTGACGTTTAAGTGTTGGTTTTGATTATCATGCAATACTGAAACTAAATTCAGAATTTCATTATTGACAAAATTTTTTTTTTTTTTTTTTAATTCTGGGTATGAATTTCTGAGCATGTGTGTAAATTTTAAGTCATTCTGGATTTTCTTTCATTTGATTAATTCGTTAAACTTGCTGTTATTTGTAAAAAATTTTCCTATTGAACTTTACCTTTCGTTTTATTGGCACAGGTGATAATAGATTTTTAACCCCCCCAAAATGAAAATTTCCAAGTGTGGCTATAGAGAGTATGCTCAAGTTCATAAAATAACTTAGTTTTTCTTTATCATCACCTTTCTGTTCGAGAAGCTTTTCTGCAGCATACAGTGACCATCCCTTTTCTATTATAAGAATGCAGTCAAAAGTCTTTAATCTGGACGTCCATAATCCGAAATGATCTGGACCTCAAAGCTACAAACTTTCTGCGCATGCGCGTTTAATGTATAACGGACGGTATAAGCTAAGCTAAAATTATCTAATTATCTATTTCAGTTAATGTTGCAGATTGCGTTGTTCCTTAATCTTCTATATGGATCCGGCTTATTATTTTTTGTGGACTGTTAGAGCAATTTTATAAAAGTAAGCTTGAACTTTAGATTATGTCAAAAAGAATTTCTGATTCTGGAGCTGCCAAAGAATCTACAAAGTGAAAGCATGTTTTGATGTCCATCAAACAAAAAGTGGAATTGCTGCAAAAAAATGTATAAATGCCTTTGTTTCTCTAACCATTCCAAAATCTGTTTATCAATTTTACATCTCTCTGCGGGGGGGGGGGGGGGACATCACAGCGCACAATGAACTGGAAGTTGATCTGTCAGCACTATCCTTATATTCAGGGCCGATGTTTTTATTTTATTTGGCTTATAATTCCTTACTAAATGTAGTATTTCATCTCAATGTACTCAGTTTTTGATTATGATTTAATCAAATTTCTCGTCATTATATTACGGATACACATCAAATAGTTTTCTAATTTCGATTATGCGTAATGTATTCTTTACGCATGCGCTTTGAAAGAAATGTTTAATAAAGTAAACAAATAAATAATTTTTTATTGTATATTTTAATACCCTTTAGATCATAATTGCTCTTTTTTTCATAAATTAAGTTTTCATATTTTTAATTTTATGTTTTCTTCATGCCATCTTACCAGATTTAAATTGATGATCTGTAGTACGGAATCGCCGAAGTCCCGACGAGTCCGGATTAAAGACTTTTGAGTGTAGTAATTTTAGAAATTTATCTGAATGTCTCCTGTGGACTTTCATTTAATAGATAACTAAAGCCAGTATGGAAATTAGGACATTTTGATATTGAAGAACAATTCATTGCTGTCTACTCTCCTTTTTTTAATTTTTAGTCTTAACAAAGGAAAATGTTTCTCAGAAATAAATGGAATGTATTTAATTAATTAAACTT